CGACGGCGTCGCCACCATGATGATCTGGAAGATCCAGAAGCGCACGTGGGACAGGGGCGCGAAGGCGTCGTAGCAGACGTTCTCACAGCCCGGCTGCTGCGTGTTGCACACAAACTTGCTCTGCTCGTCGTAGTAGATGGACTCTCCCCCCACGGCCGTCAGCACAATGCGGAAGACAATGAGGACGGTCAGCCAGATCTTGCCCACGAAGGTCGAGTGGTTGTTGATCTCCTCCAGGAGCCGCGTCAGGAAACTCCAGCTCATCCTGACCAGGCAGTTGACTCAAATCCTGCAAGGAATGGGCAGGCAAAGAGGCACTGAGTAATTTCACAGGCATCTCACTGGGACCCTGAAGTCTGCCAGCCGTTAGCCCAGCTCTGTCCCGCTCCCTCTTCCAGCACCACTGTCCCTTCCCTTACCCACAGATCCATAAACACAGCCCTGCTCAGGAAGGGCCTGCCTTTATTCCCCAAAACTTTATTCCCTGCTCAGCACCGCCTCCCTGTGCTCCCATCCTGCTGCCAGCCAGGTGGGTGGAGGGATGGGGAAAGGCTGGGACATCCTGGTTGCCTGCAGGGACATATCTAGGGGAAGAGTGAGCACAGTCACAACCAGAGCAAACATGCCAGCGTAGGGCAGCACCAGCTGGGGACTGTGAGGGGACAAGCAGGAGCAGAACCACTTCCTTCTCCCCTAGTGACACAACACCCTTTTATCACCTGGCACTGAACAGGTCCCTAACCAGCGTCACACCCTGTGAAAGCACTCACACCTTCCCACGGGGGTCCACAGGCCACTGGAGGAAGGCAACACATGGCAGCTCCACTGGCCCACTGCAGCTGCCAGCCCTGAGCCCTGGCTGAGGGGGGCAGGTCCCCAAAGCATCATCCACCCCTATGTCCTAACCAGCCAGGTCCCCTTCACTCCACAGAGCTCTCCTCTGAGGGCCATCAGAGAGATGCAGCATCACTCTCCCACCAAACCTCCGTGCTGCACCCTCTCTCCTGCAGGACCCCAGCCCCCAGAGCCTGCAGTGGCCAGTGCTCACAGCACCCTGCATCTCAATGGGAAGGGCTGGTGGGGGGATGGAACAGGGAACAGGACAGTGATAGCAAGGGGCAGTGAGGGGTAGCCAAGGAATTGCACAAAACCCTGGCAAAACAGCTGACACTAGGGATTGGGGAGGAAATTACAAGGACCATGTCACATCTCCTGACCAAAGAAGACACAAGACGCCCACACCCACTGTCCACCCTGGTTTCAGCAGCTTGTGCATGAGATGATGCAAGCCAGGGCAGCAGGTGGCAGGGATGGCCCAGGGTGAGCAGAAAGTATGTGTCTGCACAGAGCCCCCAGCAGCCCCATCCCATCACCTCTGGCCAGGGCATGTCCCTGCAGATGATGATTGATGCTGCACTGATTCCATTATTGTCCAGAACAAGAGGATCTCTAACACCAAGCTCAGCCAGCCTCCTGACCAACCTCACCTAAGCAGAACAGTCCCGCCAGCACAAGCATCTGTGCTGGGGACATGCTCTTGCTGCAGGAGGTGGCACAGGCTGGCAGCACCAGGGACCCAAATTCAGCCCATCAGGGCCACCACCCTCCTGTGGTGATATGCCCTGCAAGGTTTCAGTGCTGCCCTGTCTCCCAGGTGTGAGCCCCTCTCCCCCAGCACCTCCCTGGAAGGCGGGTGCTTTGTGTCTGCCTTTACCCCAGTCTCTGGCAGCACACCGCCCTGGCACCAGGGTGAAGAACAAGGTGAGAGGACGAGGCAGGAGGACAGTGCCAGGAACTAAAACCCAAGCTGTGTCAAACCACGACAGGTACCAAGCCCAAGGAAATCAAAAATAGGGCGGCATTGCTGTGATGGCAATGGCACACTATGGATGTGTGGCATGGGAATGGCTGGCAATGTGGGATGGCAGCCAGGGCACAGCTACCTGCAGGCGGTCCCCCAGCCGGGGCAGGTGTCCAGAGGCCAGTTTTCAAAGCAGCACAGCCACCCAGGGCCTCCCGGCCACGCTGGGAGTCAGGACTAGCACCACACACCTTGGCTGGGCCCCACGCCCACCCCTCAGTCCTACCGACCCCAGTCCCCCCGCGAGGGGCTCCCAGTCCCCTCTGCCCTGCCGGACACCCCCAGTTTTCCCTGCCCACGGGCACAGCAGCAGCATCCCCCCTGGGGCTCACCGGTCCCTGCCCATGCGGGGTCGCTGTCCCACTGACCCCTGCCACCCTGGGGACCCAGCCCTCAAGCCCAGCCTTCCCCGGGTCCCCGCTCCCACCGATTGCAGCGCCCCGCGGGCCTCCAGCCCAGCTGGCCCCGCCTGTCCGAGACCCCCAGCCTGCGATCCCGCCCGCCCGCGGCCCCAGCGCACTCCTGGGGCTCCCGCCGCCCGGGGACCGTGCCCTGCCCACCTGCCCGGCCCTGCCCCGCCGCCCCGCTCCCTCCCGCAGCCCCCCGGCCCCACTCACGGCGCACCGGGACGAGCGGCTCCCGCCGGCAGGGCGGACAAAGCGGTGGGGCGGCGCGCCGCCGCCTCCCGCCGAACAAAGGGGCCCGGGGCCGCCCCGCCCCGCTCCCGCCCCGCTCCCGCCGGTGCGCACCGACCGCCCCGCTCGCATCCCCGCCCCGCGGGTCCCGCTCCGCGGCGGCAGCGCCCGCGCCACGCGGCCCGAGCGGCGGCCCCGGCCCGCCCCGCTCCGCGCGTCCTGCGCCCGTCGGGCCGTGCCGCCCTCGGTGCTGCCGGCCCGCGGCTGGGGAGGCCGCGCTGGGCTGCGGGCGGGGACCGGCGCCGGCCAAAACTCTCCCAGAGGCGCCTCCCGCCCCAGCAGTTCCGCCCGGTCCCGCTGACCGGCTCTGTGTCCGCGCCCAGCGCAGCCCTGCGCTCCCGGAGGCCGCTCCCTCCCTGGGCGAAGCGGAGCCTCCCTGCCCGCTGCTCGCTGCGAACCGCGGGTGCGGCTCAGCCCGCGGGATTTTCAGGGGTGAGTCCGGCCGCAGGGTCAGAGGAGGGAGACCCGGCTCCGGCCTGAGAGGCTTCTGCACAATAACCTCCTATTCCTAATAGCGGTCTTCCCCGCCCAGTGGAGAGCGAGGATGGAAGAAAGGAGAGATCTGGTTGCACAGAGGAGAGGTGGCCGCACACATGGTGGGAACGCAGAACAAGACGTGCCTGTGTGGTGGCAATGTGCCTCGAGCTTTTGAAGCCCGTGCTGCTTCTGGTGTCCCAGGTCAAGTTCCTGCAGCAGGACTGGGCTGGGCATGCAGCACCTCGAGATGTGCCCTTAGACTCACCAACTGCACCACCAAGGCCAGCACAGTGGCAGCAGCGGCTTTGAGTCACCACCCTGGAGCCCTGCCCTGCCCTTTCACCAAGGGACCCTGGCCGCTCAATTTCTGCATTGCTAAAATTGGCTCTGTGGGAATTTTGTTGGGGCTGAGTCTCCACACTGGGCCAACCACACCCTTGACATCCTGGGCCCCGTTGTGTGGGGACAAAAAGGGGTACTGAGCAGTCTTGCACAACCCGAATCGTCATGCCAAAGCTGGTGTCTGCATAAGCTCATGAAGCACTGCTTCTCCTTACTGAGACACCTGAAGGGTTTCTATGAACTGGCACTCTGGTGCAGCACTGGGGCTAGCTGGAGCACGGCTAAGACCAGGAGGCTGGGGCAAGGAGAGTTATGGGGACTGTGGCCATCACATCCAGTGTGGGGTCTTGGTTATTCTGCAGCAGCTCTGCTGCTTCCCTAAATCAGCAAAGCCACCTGGGCATTGCATCAGCACTCACAGAGCCTGGACTCAGGCTTAGTGCTCTGACATGGGAGGGCAGCTGGAACCCCCCAGAGCAGTGCTCTGTACCCTGACAGAGACAGAGGTGTGTGCACAGCAGGTTGGGGAAGAGGGCCCTGCTTTGGGCTCTTGCTCACTCCTTCCTTCTCACCAGCTCATGGATGGGTCAGTCCCAGGTAACACATTTAGTTCTGTGGAGGGAGAGCTACAGCAAATGGAGAGGAATTTGACCAGGACATGAAGAAATAGTTTCCATTGAATTCCATTCTCATGCATGCAATTGTGGCATTAACATTTCTGTAAGGGAAAAGTTCCAGATTCTGCACAGACACTCTGGTCACAATCTCCATCCCAAGCCAGGAGAAACAGAAGAGGTGGATGCAAGGAGACAGCAAGCTGTGCATGGAAACTCAAGCTTTATTTTTTTGAGGGATGTAGGGAAGATTTCAGCTCCAGAAATGAAACCCAGAGCTGCAGGAAAGTGGCACCTGCAGTGCAGCATGGAGAGGTGGGAACAGGGCAGTGGGCTGCCAGCGTGAGGAGAGCATTCCAGCTTGCTGGGGAGGTCAAGCAGCACATGTTCAACCTCCTGCTCTTGCCTGGCAGTTGAAGTGACTTGTGGCTTTCCCACAGTAACCACTTGTTTTCAAGTGCTTCCAGCCTGGAAAGCTTGCCTCCAGCCTGGCTTCAACCCAGGCAGCCGAGCAGTTTGCCAGGGGTAAGGGACCGGTGTGACCCCTTGACTCTGTTGCTCAGTGCATTAAGAACAAGCCCCTGTTTCACCAGCCTCACGTTAAACTGGGAGTGTGACCTCTGGGGCGCTGCAAAATGAAGCCCTTGTGCCCAGAGAGAAGGTGCTTGTTGCACTGGGGTCAGGCATCTCTGCTGCAGCATTTTTGTACAGCACAGCTCAGCCCAAGCCTGGCTGAGGATGGGGATGGCCTTGGCAGGCCAGGCCTGGGGCTGGTGTCACACAGCCCACGGACAGCATTAGTGTGCTTGTCAGCATCCGAGCATTGGCGTCAGAGCCCTCCAGCTTCCCCTGTGCTGTTGCCCTGGGTGTTCCTGCACTCTAACCTTTTCTTAAGCTTGCATAATCCAGATGCCTGCAGAGGCATCATTCTTTCAGCTTGGGGCAGAGGGAAAACCCACATCATCCGGGAAAGGAAGACAGGGGACGAAGGGTGTTGCCCACCCTCATCCCTTTCCACATCAGCTGAGGCTGACAGCATTGTGGGCAGGAAGGATGTACAGAGCAGCAGTCTTGTGGGCCCTGGCCAAAGACCAGCTTTGCAGAGGAAACGGGCACTGTCACTAACTGCAAAAACCAGGATCAGCCCCAAACCACTGAATCTGTGGGGCAGAGCCACGGAAGGGCAGCTGCACAGCCCAGTGAGAGCAATGGGAGCTGGCAAAAGAGGAGATAGCGGCTGAGGGGGAGTGCAAGCAGAGGGATAAGAAGAACATCCACTTCTTGGACAAGTGCTGCAGCTCGGGATGGACATTGGCAAGAGCTGGTGCAAGAACTCCCTCTCTGTTTAGGCACAGTGCTGCAAGAGAGGCACCCTCTGAGATGCCAGTGCCAGCCCCTGCCTTGGCCACCAGACACAGCATGCAGGGCCCAGCCTGGCTCTTGATAGCAGCCTCAGTTTCTGCTCTGATCAATACAGCAGGATGGGCTGGGCCCTGCTATAACTGTCTCTGCTTTTGGGGACAGTGGCAGTAAGCAGATGGTGGTGCTGGGTGCCCTGGGTGTGTTTGCTGTGGGGTGACATGGACAATGCCTGGCTGGGGCTTGGCAGCAGGCTGAGGAAGCCAGCTCCACCCTCTCCAAGCAGGGCCGAGCAGGCAGCACTGCAGGTAGGTAGCACTGCAGGTAGGCAGCACGCAGCCCTGGCAGCAAACACACGCTTTCCAGATTAAACAACTTCTCTGGCACTGGGACACGGAGCAGACAATTCTATTAGGGATTGTTTGTCCTGATACAGGACAGCTCCATAACTAGCTTAATACCCTTCCTCTGATAAGGGGCAGAGGCACACTCCATTGCAGCAGCACAAAGGGCAATGACCATGCCCTCCATCAGAGGCTGGGCAAAGGCTAAGATGGCTTTAAAATAGTTTCCTTCCCTTTTATCCCCCCACTTGATTATGCAGCACAGTGGGGGCACAGCCCCTACTCTCCTCTCTCATGCTACAGTGTCCTTCACAGTTCCTGGGTGCTTCTGGTGACTTCTCCCAGCACCATGCACAGCACTGAGCCCAGGCTGTGCTGGCTGCCCTTTCCCTGCCTGCCAAACTGGAGAGCAGCCCACAGGGAAGGGCTTTACACAGGCTCTGGACACTGCTCTGTGTGCTGGGTAAGGATCACTGGCATCTTGGAGAGATGATGCTGCCCAGACAGGTCCATGACAAATGAGGAACATGTGCCCTTTGCTGGTACATCTCACATCCCCTGGAGATGAGGCCAGCAGGGATATTCTGCTAGAAGTAATGACCAGTCACTCCAGTCACCAGGCTTTGCTAGTTCAGCACAGTGCGAGGGGGCTATGAGCATACAAACTATATATGCTCAAGGCAGCGCTGCTTTAGGGGGCAGAGAGATGCAGCAAGAAGCACTGAAATAGCCAAGCCCACGACTGAAGGCATCATTTTCATTGATAACAGCAGAGCAAAGCAGGGCTGGTACGTGCCCATGGAGCAGTGGTGGTAGCTTCAGGCTCATGGCAATGGCTGCCTGAGCCCATGGCTGCCTGCAGCCTGTCTCCAGAGCCCTATGGCCACCCCAGCCTGGGAATCCTTGCAGCTACATACACCTAGACAAGAGACTGCTACAGGCAAGCACAGGCAGGGAAACAGAGGGTCAGACCAGCCTTGCTCTGTGCTAGCAGCTGAGTGCTGGAGCACAATGCACCCAGAAAAGGAGAAGGAGCAAAATCCAGATTGTTTAAGAGCACAGCTAGGGGATGGCATAATCAAAACTGAGACAGGCAGAAGGTATCTGCAGCTGGTTCAATGTATATTCCACCTTTCTGCAAACCCCAGCTGTCCTATACAGCCCCAGCTCCCACACAGCCATCAGTGGGATGCCTGCAGTGCTGGATGGTGGAATGTGTTAGGGGAGCCCTTGCACACACCCAGCTGATGCAAGGAGACCAGTTAATGTAATCACTGCACCAGGTGCAGGAGCCCTACAGCAAAGCATTTATGGAGTAACCAAAAAGGGGTTAATCTGTAATAACCAGGAGAACACGCTAAGTGAAAACAAAGCAAGTGTTTCATGAAGAGGAGGAGACAGGTTGCAGCGGTGCATGTGAGCTTTCCTGTCAGTGCAGCAGCCAAAGGAATGCAGAAAAGCAGGGTGCTGTTTAGGGGACCAAGAGGCTGGTGCTGAGCTGGGAACAGAGACCACAGCAGACATGGCAAAGAAGAGAAGCAAATAATTAGTCACCTCTGAAATAAAATGTGGGAAGAGCTTGAGAAGAGCTGTGGACAGGCACACAACCAAAACCTTTGGTTCTGGCAGTCCACACTTTGTCAGGCCCCTCAACACACACCCAGATACTGGAGTAGCAAAGGTGCAGCTTGGCTAGGACCAGAAAAGCAAGTTCCAGGAATGAGTTTTCTCAGGGAATCAGCTGGAGCAGAAGAGACATCAATGAGCTGGTCCAGTAACTCCAAATTTGACTCTTGCCCTTTGTGAAAGACGCAGCTACAGAAGGTGAAGGCAGAACTTACACAAGCTCCTTAAATGGCAAGATGAA